ATTCCTCCGTATCTTTAATTTTGATATCCGCTTGAAGTTGTATGGTTTGGGGGAAATTGTCTTTGTTGAACCCAAATGTTTGTCGTTTTGAAGGTTTTGTGAAAACCTTTCCTTTCGGGTTACCTCAGATAGTGCGAACCTCGAATTAGAGAAATTCTTTTCTATACCTCGAACCGAATGCCGACACTGACTGGGTGTAGCCACGTGACGTGGTGGTCGGGCACGCGACCTCGTGCTGAGAGATGTGAGGCACTGCAGGGCCGATCGTTGACTCGCACAAGAGCTGCAGCCACCATCATCGGACGCAGGAACTTCCCAAGCCAGTGTGTGCGGCTGAACTTTGACCTTGCAGCTGGTCTCCGAATAGATGTACGCTCACGTCCCAGCGCCCCGCTTATGCAGCGCCAGTGTGTGTGACATCTCTTGGGTGACAGTGCATTTAACCTCGGATTGGCTATGTCCTTTTAGATCATTAGTACGGGATTATCGAGCATCCATATGTGAGAAACCATCTCTATGATAGGAGATTGTTTCCAAATATCTAGTCGATACTTCCTAAACCACATATGAGCTGTTACTCGTGTCGGCGAGGAGTGAGGCTTTGTCAACTATATCGAGCAGAACCGTGTGTTCTAAAGGTGTCAGTGTTGAGGATATAGTGTTACTGATGTTTGTTAGCCGTTCATATGGGGTTCCGTGGCGGCCCGTCTGATATGAACGCACGGATCACATTGAGATCATGGGAAAGTTGTCGGCGTGACTCGGGCACGAGACTGAACTTGGTACCGCGTAGCAAATCCAAATAGTTGTGTGGTTGTGACATACTGTCGAGGCCATGAGATACTGATTTGAGTCTGGTGTACTCGATAGGTTGTGTTGTGTGAAATTTTGTACCATGAGAAGTACGCTTATAGCGATGGCTAATGAGCGACGATCTCGATAGTACCGTACGAGGTTCTAAGTAAGATAGAGGTGTTGTACGCCTCGAATTCTGGGAAGAGAGGAAGTATCAGCCACATTTGTTGGTCCTTTTTGGGATTCTCGACCGAGTCGGCAACTTAGCCTGACGGTTGTCCCCATCACCGGAGCTTGCAAGAGTGCACGACTTGTTCAGTGCGTCGTAGAAATGGGACATGTGCGTGACTCTGGGCACGTGGCGAACTTTGACGAGCTGCATGTGGGAAGAACCTTACCTTTGATGAGGTACCGGTGACCTAATGGATTGACGAATCCATCAAGGAGAGTTCGGGAGAGGTACTCGTCAAAGTCCGGCGGGGTAGCCGTAGCTAGTGCGGTGTGACTTGGTAGAGTGGGGAGATTCGGACGGAGTATCCGAGTTTAGTGGTTTGAGCTTCTCTCTTGTGTCAGTTGTTCTGTTAGTATGACTTTCTTTTATTTCCGGGGACGGAAATCGTTTAAGGAGGGTAGACTGTAATGCCCCATTTAATTGTGGTTTATTTGAGGATTATTATTATTATTATTATTATTATTAGTTGTCTAATTGTAATTAATTGCCTAAATGTGTATTTGGATTATTATTATTATTATTATTATTATTATTATTATTATTATTATTATTATTATTATTATTATTTTTAAAATAATTTGTGTATGAATAAATTCTATTCGAACTTATTAATTTACTTGTCGTGCGATCGATCTGAATCGAATTTGTCGTAAAGCTTTTAGAAATCGAGCCCGAAAGCCGATTTATTTTCTCGAGCCCCGCATCGAACCAGACGAGCCCGACCCAGTTTTTCCTCTCTTGTGCGTGTGTATGTGTGTCTTGGAGAGAAAGAAACTAAAACCTAGTTTCTATATCTGTACCTCTCTCTCTCGTCCAACAAACACGCTGCAGCCTCTCAATCTTTTCTTTTCTCTCCCGTTTCTCTCTCACGCCGCGCAGAGAAAGAAAACCCTTCTCTGCTCCCAATCAATCCCGTCGCCCTTCCCCTCGCAAGAAAAACCAGTCGCCGCCGTGCATTGTTCTTCTTCTCCGACGCGCAGCTCTTTCCCCGCGACCCCATCGCCTCCGGCGAGTCTCCTTCCACCGACGACTCCTACTCCCGCGAGCAAAATCCGGCGAGCCCTCCCTCTTCGTGTGCTTCCAGCGTTTCCCTGCCACCCGCGAAGACTGTCTGCCGCTGCTCCGCCCCATCACGCATCTCAGGCCACCGTGACCCCCGCCGCTGTCCTCCGCCAACGCTGGCCACCTGCTGCCGCTGAGGCCGTGTGAGACGACCGCCGTGAACCTCCCCCAGCCTCTGTTCGCGACTGAATACCGACTAGCAAAAATTCACCATCTTTCTCCTCCCGCGAGCAGACTGTCGGTAGCCCTCTCGCCATTGCCACCTCTGCTGCTCGCGAGAACCGGCGAGCCTCGCTGATCCGTTGAGCCCGAGTACCCCTGCGCGACTCACGACCCCGTTAAGCCCTTCTCTCGACTCATTTTCGAGCGTCTTTCCCGAGAACGGTATTGACGGCTCGAACCATAACTCATTTCGATTAATATGTTGTGTGTTTTTTTTTCATGTGATTGCTATATGTTATATGAATAGCCTCATTATTTTATTCGTCATGTGTATGTGTAAATATATCTTGATGATGTTAAATGGTATCGTCGTGTTTATATCTGGTCGTTGTCGATTCGTGTGAATCGAACGAGAACACATTGAAACCGTGTGAAGGTTGTGGATTTGGAACAATATAAAGTCCTTGACCTTATGGTTAAGGCCTCGGACTAGTTAAACGATTTATGAGTCAATTATGAATTTATTGATTGTGATTAATTGCTGTTATTGTGAAAAATTCAACAAAAATTTTGTATTGCTCCGATTGCCTTGAAATGTTGAGGGTTAAGTCCTCTGATGAAAACAAGGCTCGTGTGAAAATTTCATAATTTTTCTCGGCATGTAGCTATTTTAAATAATTAAATCTATTTTTTAGCAGATTCTTGTTAAATGCATAATAAATTGGTCCGTGCTTCAAATGAGCTGAAATTTTAGTATGATGTGCCTCTGTTATATGTTTATGTTGTGTAAAATGTTTGGAATTGTTGGACTGAGTTTGATAGGGTAAATAGGTTATTTGGGTAATCTGCCGAATGTTGTTTTAACTATGAAAAATCGTTCAGTTGCTGAAAAATTATGATTTTTGGTTTATGAGCTTATTTTCTATTGAGTTTCATGCTGTTGAAAGATTGGAATTTTTGGAGTTCATATTGGTTCGATTTTAATTAAATTTTGAAAACAGTAGGAATTTGTATGAATTTTTAAAATTCGGGTATTTAATGTTCATTGCTGGAATTTTTACATGATGATATTTACATGCTGAAATATATGGTGTTAAAATATCAAGTCGTGATTCATTCCTTTGGTATGGATATGAATTTATGTTTTGTTTTTACTGTTTAATTCTATGAATTTTATAAAATTGTGTATAACGAGTTTGAGGTTGAAACTTGGTGGGTTTTCTAAGTACCAAGAGGTGAATTTTGTGTTAAATTTTAAGAACTTAACTCGTTTGTTTGAAGGATCTTCTAAAACATGTGTAAATCTTGGCAATTCTTTTCAATTAATAATTTTGTTAGGTGTTGGTGACCAATTTGTTATGTGTTTACTTGTGGCTTCTTTTGATTGTCTTTTATTTGAAATTGTGTGAACACCAATAAGTAGTTTGATCGAGTCTAAATCCTAGAGTTCCAATATCCACAGGACTTCACGAACTACTTAGTCGAATCAAGTTCGACTAAGTCAAATTTGTGATTTCTACTTAGGTCTAGATAAAGCGTTGACTTTAGTATCTGGACATATGTAGGTGTCTAGAGGTGTTGACCTCATCCTGCCTTCGAGAATCGTGATTGTGTTTTGTTGTTGGAAACAGGTGGGTACATTTGTGATGTATTCCATAATTATCGCACTCTTTATTCGTATAATGCTTCGTTTCAAAATTGTTGTATGCGTGAGAACCCTAGTCTAGGTGTCCCGAACGATAGTTCCTTTGATAAATGCGAAAGCAGTAGGAGGTCGTCTGCCCATTGTATCCGGGAGGGACACCCCAAGCCGTTGTACCCGGAAGGGAAAAAATATCTCCACTGTCTCCTAGAAAGGATCCCACGAACCGTTGTACTCGGGGGTGGGAAGGTTTCCAGTTACTTCCATGCCGTTGTATCCGGAAGGTTGTTGTATGTACATAGGAGGTTTGCGATAGGGCTGAGTAGGGAGTTTAGACCTTGGATTCTATGCATACTGTGAAATTGTTATAAAATGCTTTATACTTGATAACTGTGCGATAATGGTGAGCTTGTTGGTGATACTCACCCCCATTGTTTATTTTCTGTTGTTGTTTTCTCTTCCTCCTTAGGTTGAGATGAGCTGGAGGCGGTGGCGTAAAGACGAGCGAGATGGTGGTCATTAAATTCATTGGATGTGTCTTTTGCTTCTGCTTGTTTTATTTATGATATACTGCTTGCTTTTCATTTGGATTATTTATGGTGGATTATTTATGCTTCCCTTTGAACTGGATTATTATGCTTCTGCTTGAAACCATAGATTTATGTTAAGCTTTTGAAAGACATTGAGACTTATGAAAATGTCAGCTTATTTTTATAAGTGTTGGCTTACGCTTGTGTATAATTTATTTATTTGTCGTAATTGTTTTAAATGCTATTGATAGTTAAGTGGCGCCCGTTGAGTTTTAAATTTTGAATTGATTTAATAAAAATAACTCTGATTTTTGTAATTTAATTCGGTAAATTTTTTAAAATAAAACGGGGCATTACAAGACTTTAGAATCTCAACCAATCTAAAGAAAACATGTTCATCCCAGTTGTGCGAGGTGTATTTTTCTAGAAGGTTGTGTCAAAGACAAGTAGAAAAAGACGTAACTCAATTTTGAGTCTGGATGAGCTCGTACAAGTCGAAGGTGTACAGTCACACTAGTAGCCTGCACCCATGCTTCCAGGCCATGCCCAGGTTGTCCCAGGCCTCGTCGCAGCACACCCGTGCACTCCCGCAGCACGCCCGAATATACCCGTGCAACCCTGCATTGACCCCGCAGCAGACCTGCGAACGCCCACATGCCATCGTCCAAACCTCGCGCTGCGAGGCCCGTCGCGCCGCGACGCTGCGCGAGTCTCCCACGCGCGACCTATGTCGCGACCCATTAGAAACTCCTAGGTGCTCCAGGCCTCGCGCCGCTATAGCGCACGACCTCGCGGCATGCCTGGCAACATGACCATGCCTTGCTCAACACCGCCCATGAAGACCTCGTCGAGCTTGTCTCAAGCCTCGCCGCAGCAGACTCGTGGACTCCCATAGTATGCCCGAGCAGACCCGTGCAGCCCCGCATCGACCCCACAGTAGACCCGCAACGCCCGCACACACCCGCGCATGACTGAACACCATCGTCTAGGCCTCGTGCCATCAGGTCCATTGAGCCACGACGCTGTCAAGCGTCACGCAAGTCTCGCGCGCGCGACCTATGTCCCGACCCAATAGACACGCCTGGGAGCTCCAGGTCTCTCTCCGCGACAGCGCACGACCTCGTGGCGTCTGGCAGCACGCCTAGGCCTCGCGTGATAGCGCCCACGAAGACCTTGACCCGTCGGGGCACGACGGGTCTCGCTCCCGCGACGCTGGGAGTTCAAAAATACATTTGGACAAAATTTTGGCTCGATTTTAAATCGTGTTTTTGGAGACTCAGTCCCAGTGAGCTGCTAGCTACGCCTCGTCGCCTCCTGCCGTGTCGCTGCTATTACAGTCCGTGTTCGCGCTCGTCACTCCCTGCGTCATCCCGTGAGCGTCCCAACGAGCGCGTGCGAGCACGCTGATGAAGATGTGACTAGGAGACTGAAGAACGCGTCGAGTCGGGCTTATCATGCGCGCAAGATATTGGCTTGACGGGTCGTCGAGGCAAGTGGGATGGCCGCGTGCATGGGCGCGAGCAACGATGCGGAAAGCGCGATGGGACTAGGTGGCTCGGGTGCGCGGGACCATGTTATAAGAGTCTCTAGTCCACGGGTGATAGTATAGGTGTACCGAGTGATCGGGTTCTTGAGGATGGCGTGTTGGTCGCGGGCGCAGCAGCACAGGCGCCCAGTGACGCATGAGACGACGCGCACTGGCAGGCAGTGAACAAGCAGACACGCGCATGAGTAAGAACACGCACAGGCGCGACCTGTGGAAGTTGCGCGCACAGGGGACACGCGCGGCGCAGACACAGGTCTGCCAGGGACTACGCGCGCGGGAGACTTGTCGAGCAAGAAATCGAGTCTTCCGAAAGGATTTTTGAGTTAAGTCTCTTCTAGATAATTCTTGATATTTTCCCACGTGTTTTAATTACTTTCCTATGTATTTTACGCTTAGAATATGTTGGGTATATTTATGACTTCAGTTGATTTATTTTCCATAGGATTAGAGGCTTATTTCTCATAGGACTAGACTTAGGAAGGTGTATTCAATTTCAACTTTTAGAGATTTTTTAAGACTTTTGGAATTCTGGTGTATTCAATTAGAACTTTTAGAAACTTCTGAAAAGTTTACATGTATTCAATTGAAACTTTCAAAGACTTTTTATAAGTCTCTAAAAGTCTCAAGGTATCCAATTAAAACTTTCTGAGAGTCTCTATAAATCACCCTGTATTCAAAATAGGAAGACTTTATGAGACTTTCTAAATTGTGAGACTTTTAAAGATTTTTCTAGCAAAATTACAAAGAAAAAATCCCAACAGAAATCTCATAAATATTGGTGAGATTTTGTTGGACTTATGTGATTCTCTTCACGCTCCCTTTATTTTTTCTTTCTAACACGACTTTGTATCTCATATCACTTTAATGTCCTATTATTTTACTCATTTATTTTGATACCTTGTATAATTTTTATTTTCATTACGTATATTTAACGTGATCTTTATTTTATATATTTTTTATTATGGTTATTTTATATATGTATACATTTATTCTCTCATTTTGCTATCTTGTGAATTTTTTACTTTTCAAAGCTTAAAATTCTTTCATACTTTGCACTTGCAAATAATTTATTTGTTCTCTCTTTTTATTTGTTAATGTTTATTTTCAATTATTTAAAAAATTATTTTATTTTCTAATAGTTTATTTACTGATATTGAATATTTTTTAATATTATTGATAACTTTGTAGAATACAATTACTATTTTTCAACAATGTTTGTATCTTCCATAGTTCGACTCGTTGAATCTTGGATTGATTTGTTCATTTAATAAATATAAAATCCTAAACAATTTGTTCGTAAATAATACATTTCGTATAACAATGAGTTGATTCATAAATATTTAGAGGATTAGTATATAAAATATTTTTATTTCATTAATTCTTCTTGATATTAGTTATTATGTTACATTTATTAATGCTTCATTCAAACATAATATTATAACTACAAGTATATAAAAGTCTCAATAAGTTTTCAAAAGTCCATTATGAAAGTCTTAACAAGTCACTAATGAGAATTTCTGAAAGTCTCAAAAAGTCCACCAAAGCCATCAAAGTTTTACAAAGTCCACAAAAGTCACCAAGTTTAAAAAAATTTAAAACGTCTTTTAGAATCTCAATTGAATACAACCCCTTTAGTTGTCTTCTATAAATACTCATGTTTGGAGGACGTTTTTATCATCAATTCATCAATAAAATTCAGAACGTTTGTTCATCTACTTGTGTTAGAATTCTCTTTGAGTTTTAGTGCAAAACCCTTGTGCCGAAAAGAGCGTTTCATCGCATAGTTTGACATAAGTTCGAGTTTGGCAAGGATACTTCATCCGAGCTGTCTCAAGACCGTGAGAAGATAAGTAGAAATCCAAGTTGGCCACAACCTACCATCGAGAAGGAAGCCATCCAAGCTACTTTCGACGCAAATTAAGTTATCGAGACACGCGATCTTCATCATTGGTGTTTTCATTCAGAGGGTTGATCGTGTGTCTTCTTTTTTTATTTCTTAGAGTTTAGTTTCAGAGTTATTTCAAAAACTAAAAATAAAAATAAAAATAAAAATTAAAAAAAAAAAATTGTTCTAGTTTTATAGTCGAAATACACAAAAAATTGTTTAGCGTTTTGTGAGTGATTTTTTTTTCTTTTTTCGTGAGTTGTTAAAATATATATGATATAAATAAAAACGAGTTCAAAAAAAATCGAGAAAGAAACAAATGGCTAGGAAACCAAGGAGAAGCTCAGGGATTTGGAGGCTAAGATGACTAGCTTAAGTGAGGGGTTGGAAGCTACTAATACAACCATGACAAACAACATGGCTCATCTCGAGCAATCAATTCACAACTAGCAACAAACCATGATGGAATATGGGGTTGACCAAATTGACGAGGTGTTGTGACATGTTCGGCAGCCACCACCATCACCACCACCACGAGGAAGGGATCGAGCAAGGGCACGGTCGAGGGAGTATGAGCGCGAGAGGGCTAAGTATGAAGAGAAGTAGGAGGATTTCGATTGGCGCTCGCAAGCATTGACCAACAAGGAGAGACCTCGGGTCTAGAAGTCGAGGATAGTCCTATCTACTTTCAACGGAACGGAATTGGACGCATGGTTGAACCGAGCTATCCAATATTTCAACCTATGGATCGACTAACAAAGTACGCATACTTTATTCTGCTTACCCATCCATATACAGAAAAGTAAATCGCGAAATTGTTTGTGGAGTACGTGATGAAGCTCCCTGGGGTTCCTCTGTTGATTGTTTCTGATCGAGATCTCATCTTTATGAGCATCTTTTGTTCGGAATTTTTCAAGATGTAAGGAATGGAGCTAGATATGAGTTTGACATATCATCCACACACCGACTGCCAAATGGAGGTTACAAATTGGACGTTGGAGCAATATCTCTGGTGCTACGTACATCAATTTCCAAAGAAGTTGAAGGATTTCTTACTTGGGTTGAGTAGTGTTACAACAGGACTTACCATAGCTCGATCAAATCCACGTCATTCAAGTGGTGCACGGACGAAAGCCCCCCACGCTGATTAGCTATTCGATGGGGAAATTTGTAAACGATGAGGTTGATTGTGAGTTAATGGAACGGGATTTGATGATCCAAGAGTTGAAGAAGAACTTAGATGGGTCGATTAATCACATTAAGACATACCATGATAAGGGGAGGCGCGAAGAAAACTATGAGCCGAGAGATTGGGTCTACTTGAAGTTGCGATCATTTCGACAATGCACAGTTGCACAAAGGACCGCATCCAAACTTGGGGTTCGTTACTATGAGCCTTATCAAATTCTAAAGCGCATCGGCAAGGTGGCGTATCGGCTCAACTTGCTGGAGACGTCACAAATTCATCCGGTTTTCTACGTCTCGCAATTGAAAAGTAGTTTTGGGCGACACGCACAAGTTGGGCACTAGACTTCCCGCGACGGCTCCGGATGGGCAAATCATTGTTAGTCCAAGTCATGCATTGAATTATCATGAAGTTAAGAGGGCTGGTCGGTTTGTTTTGGGAGGTGTTAGTCGAATGGGAAGATTTACCAGAAGAAGAGCAGACATGGGAGAACTTAGCCGAAATGCACGAACGATTTCTGTCTTTCATCCTTTAGAACAAAGAAACACTTGAAGGGGACGAGAATGATGAAGATGTGGCTAGGAGGCTGAAGAACGCGTCGAGTCGGGCTTATCATGCGCGCAAGGGATTGGCTCGACGGGCCGCATAGGCAAGTGGGATGGCCGCGTGCATGGGCGCAAAAACGGTGCGACAAGGGTGATGGGAATAGGTGGCTCAGGGGCGCGGGACCATGGCATAATTGTACCAGGTGAACGGGTGCTTGGGGAAGGAGCGTCGGGAGTTGAAGGTGCGCTGGTCACGGGCGCAGCAGCACAGGCGCCCAGTGCCCCGCGAGACGACGCGCGCAGGGACGACGCACATGTTTGTCCCATTTTTGTTGCACTTTTCGTGTTTGATTTGCCTTCTATTTCCCCTATTTTAGGTCTTTTCATTCGTTTTTAGTTCGTTTTGTGTTTTGTTTCATGATTTCCTCTATTCGGAGTTTTTCTGTGTTTTTCGGTCATTTCTCAGTTTTCTCCGCTTTTATTTTCGTTTCTTGTATGTAGATCAGGAGTTTGGGGAGGATTTATTTTGAAAGATGAATTGGTCGTGTGAGCACAATTAATTAGAGAAGTTCCTTAGCG